CTGTTGGTGTCGACTGACTCCGGCCAGTTGTTGAACGATGGTTCTTATTGGTACTGCTTTCGATGATTTAAACGGGCCGCCTATACTTTCAATGTAGACAGCCGTTGCTGTCCCAAATAAGACCAGTGGCTGCCCATCAATTGCCTAAGAAATACTTAATTTTCATGATTTTTGTATTAAAAAAATAGTAGCACTTGCTTACTTTGGAGTGAACTATCATCTCCTAAGGGATGATACAGTGTTATATTTAATAAATATACGAACTATTTTTTGCTTGCCTTCCATCAATGGATTTTAAATATAAATAAAAGGGCGTTTAATTAAGGCAACAAAAATAGATACTGTCAACATGTTTAGTACATTCTTTACTCAACATCAGCAGTTTCGTTAAAAAATATATAATAGTAATAATAAAAATAATAATAATAGTTTATTTGCAGAAGGTGTGCCTTATTTTACATTATATACTATGTATACAATTTCCTGCAAAATGAACTGGAAGACAGTTAGATAACTGATTCAAGTTCCAGACCATATAAAAAAATTAATTAAATTTAAGAACAAAATATAAAAGAATATAACTAATACTGGTTGTCAAGTAGTACTTGCTTGTACTTTTTTTTATTCATGGGCCCAAAGGATTTAAGATATATCCGTAAACCATTGTAAAGCCGGTAAATTTTGTATGAAAAGGATCCACAAAACTTAGAGGTGATAATAATAATAATAATAATAATAATAGGTATTTATTGCCCAACAGTACATACCATAAATGGACATTCATATAATAGTGTTTACTTACAAATACTAGCTTATAAATAAATAATACAAATAAGTTAAAAACAATATATAAATAATTAAAAATCTAAATAGTTAACAATTTTTACAATTAACAATATAAAACACTAGGCTAAACAATTTTTTTAAAAAGCTTAAGGAAGAAAAATGTATATCACAGGAAGTAGAAATACAATTGAATATATTGCACATAAAGGAGATTTTTTAAGTGTGTTTGTACGAGCAAAGGGTTATCTAAACGTTATACATTGTCGGCTATTACAACGAGGAATATTAAAGCACAATGGGGTAGTTAAATTTTTTCTGACCTATACTTTTTATGGTTTTATTCAAGGCGTTTTGTAATATTAAACATTTCTGTGAAATCGGAATTTCAATTGAGTTTACCGTTTTCGAGATATTTACAAAAAATATAAATTTTTATGACGTCACAAACCTCGCCATGTGACCAACATTCTAAGATTTCTATTGGTTGAAAATTACCCTGTTGTCAAGTTGTCTTGTTAATGATTTCATTCGGGTATGTCAGAAAATAACCGAAGAGGTTATGTACAAATACTGTCACTGTCAGTTGAGTGAAAGAAGAAGAAGAGGAGTTTAAAGAAAATTCTGAAATTAAAAGTTTTATTGATAGGTTTACACATTGAAACACCGTGTGAAACCTAATAAAATGTAATAAATAGGTACCTAATAACTGTCTAAAGCAGAGTTTAATATATTTTATAGAAAAAAGTGGCAAAATAAAGCTGAAAATGAATGAAATAAATTTACAAAAAATAATAAATGTAAGTTAACAATGGTATTTATGATATTTGTGTATAGTTTTTATAAAACTTGCATCCCTGATGATGAGCATCAAAACCTTTTGTAAGATTAAAAAAATGTATTACAAACTTTTGGACTGTTTGAAGATACTACGCTCTAGAGTACATTTTTGTACTTTTCGACAATTCTGGTTTAAATATTGCTGCAATAACGTACATAGTAGGTAAAGATAGTGCAGGGTCTACAAATAGACATTTTGATTAAAATAATATAATAAAATATATCTTCTGTGTAGAGAAACAGATGGTCACCAAATTCATTAAGTACCTATCTTCCTTATTACGAGGTATCATATTACTGTTTGATATATCTAAAAGAATATAAAGAACTAGGCATTATCCTAATGAAATGAATTTACGACAAAATATGATTATAATTATAGGTACTTACTTTATTTGTTTAAAAGCTCCAATGTTCAATGTAACCAACCATTCCACAAGATTCCTCTGCTTTGGAGTCCGTTATTAATAAATATATATAATAATAATTTGATTTTCAAAAAAAACATAACCCGAAAAAAAGAAACGTCAAAAAATCAATTCTTCTCAATTAAAATTGTAGATCAAGTGGTTTTAAACCTAAAATATTATAACGTGGCGCCATCTATCGTAAGAATCTTAAACTAAACACACTGGCAACCATAGAAAAAGCTGGCAACGTTGTCAATAGCCTAGTGACGTAATTAGGAGATTTTTTTTGGTAAATATCTCGAAAACGGTAAACTCAATTGAAATTCCGATTTCACAGAAATGTTTAAAATTACAAAACGCCTTGAATAAAACCATAAAAAGTATAGGTCAGAAAAAATTTAACTACCCCATTGACCCAACAAATCCATGCAATCGATCTGATCATGAAGAAGTTTATACAAAAAAGTTATTGAAATAATTTTTCTTCTCAATTCCAAAGACAATACATTAAAAGTCTCTAACAGAACTAAATGATCAGAACCCTGTGGTGGATAAAAATTGAATATTCTAAAGTTAAGAATTTTTAGGAATTTACGCTGTACATTCTCAAGGTTTGTTAAGTGATTGGCATATATTGGAGACCAAACCATGCTGGCATACACAAGTTTTCTGCGCACTAACGAATAATATAGTAATTTAACGGACTGAGAAGAAAAACCTTTGGTATTTCTAAAAATAAATCCAAGGGTCATTGTTGCAGATTTTATATTTGTGTTAATGTGAGTTACAAAGCTTAACTGTTGATCAAAAATAACACCCAAGTCTTTCATTACAGAAACTGTATCCAAGGGAATATCATTAATGCTATATTCAAAAATAATTGGATTTCGTTTTCTGGTACAGCGCATAATCTTACATTCAGATATATTCAACTTTAAACGATTACTAAGGCACCACTGGTTTAAAGTATTTAAATCATTTTGAAGTTCTAAGCAGTCATTTAAGTTTTGTATACCTTTATAAATTTTTAAATCATCCGCATATAAAAGTTTGGAGCAACTTAAATTTAATGGCAAGTCAATAATAAAAATAACAAAAAGAATGGGTCCTAAATTAGATCCTTGCGGCACCCCTGAACAAGAGGCAAACTCTCTTTACTCTCTTTAAATTAATTAGTCAAAAATGACCCAGAAGACTATTTCAAAAGCATTATTATCATTGCATTATGGTCCACTACCGAACATTTTTTTAATACTTTTGATATTTTCCGCTAGGTGGTGCCGGCGCCGCGCGCGGTTGAATTAAAAGTTTTTGACCGATTTTGACATGGTCAAAATCTCTCCAGTCAAAATAGGTGAAAATCTCGGTCAATTGACCGCGGTCAATTGACCAGGCACAACCCTAACTACATCACAGTAATTAAAATGGCTAACTAGTCAATTTTTTTTTAATTGTATGACAGTATATGACGGTGAGTATATAATATTTTCAAATTTAAATATGACGATTTAAGGAACTTGGTTATATGTAAAAAGAACATTAGAATATTATTAATTAATAAACCAAGGTTCTTGGCTTAATTAAAACATGGTAGTCTATTATTATTATTACTATGAATATTAATGTTGTTCTATGTGGATATAAAAACAACTTTGTTGTAAAGTTTCACGAAATTTATTAAATTTTGACAATTGTCAAAATTTAATAAATTTCGTGAAACTTTACAACAAAGTTGTTTTTATATCCACATAGTTAATATGGAGTTTCATCAAGTAAAGGTTTCACGAAATTTATTAAATTTTGACAATTGTCAAAATTTAATAAATTTCGTGAAACTTTACAACAAAGTTGTTTTTATATCCACATAGTTAATATGGAGTTTCATCAAGTAAAGGTCGAAACAATTAATAATTGAATGCTGTTCTTAATTTCAAGTTTATTTTTTCCAAATATAAAAGCACATGATTTCAAAGGATTAATTTTTAGTTGGTGCTTTTCTGAGATTTCAATTAAATCACGCAGATCACTATTTACAGTTGCTTGGTCATCTGACAGTGATTTAATGATTCAGTGATAATAAATATTATTTAATGTATAAATACAAAACAACAATGGTCCTAATATGGAACCCTGAGGGACACCACGTAAAATAAGAGCTCTGTCTGATTTTCCTTTATCGGTTTCGACAAACTGCATTATATCTCTAAAATATCTGAATAAGGTAAATTGCCACATTTGAAAAACCATTATACAGCTTGTTCAGAGTAAAACCGAATATATCTATATATATATATGGGGCGTGGCCTCGCCTCCCTCCAAGGCGCGTCACAGTAGCTTGTGTGATAAACAACATGACGAAAGGTCGAGCAGGTAAGGACTTAAAACATTAAATGATAATAATGCAAAAAATCTCATTAGCGATGCAGGCTATTTGCTTAGCTACTGTGTCGCGCATTGGAAGGAGGCGAGGCCACGCCCCATATATATATAGATATATTCGGTTTTATTCTGAACGGGCTGTATATAGTGAAGAATGGAAGTAAAGTAAGTAAGTAAAGTAAATTTTGTTTAAACCAATAGGTTAATTAATAAAAAAAACTTCCTAACTACTTCAAATTTTCATTGTTCTTGACCTGTTAAATACTAGGTGTGGACAATAAGTTCGTAGATTTTTTTTCTTAAAACGGTCAACAATGGGTAGTCGCTCAGTTTGCAGGTATCAGTGTTGCGGGCTATAATTATAATTAACGGATGTTGTGGATACTTTATTAAGTAGTTTTATTGGAGAAAAGCTGACACAGACAGCTGGTTTTAAAGACTAAAAAATAAAATCGATTTTTTTCTACCGTGTAAGTGGCATTAACAACTTTTAATTTTTATAGTTCATAAAACAGGAAAATATTTTTTTTTAACGGAATGTGTAAATATAATTCTAAAACCTTGAACACTTCTTACCTCAAGTATACTTGTAGGTTTTGTGGAATAATGCGACCTAATAATAAAATAAATGAAACAGATTACACCTAATATGTAAACCTAATACAATAAAGCAAAGGAAACCTTATAAAGAGGTCACTATCCTTAGTAAATATCGAGCCAAGTAAATATATATTAAAAATTATTTAGTGTCGCTCCCAAAGTCTTTGTTTACTCACCTATTATTTCTGTCTGATTGCAAAATGAAAATCGCGATAGTGTTAAAACTTTTCTGTTTAATTTTATCAGTGTCAAAAGTAACATGCCAAATAGAGCGCTCTTCGACGCCTTTAAATGTCGAGACCCAGACTCATAGAAAGGAGGTAATTGATACGAATAAGGACACAGTCAGGAGAATACAAGCACTGGAAAATTGTGTTACCAGTTTACTTGAGATAAAAATCAAGCCACTCAAAGCGGACGATTGTTGCCTTACGAAAATATGCTTTAACAATTACCTACTCAATAAAATTGTTCACAGCCACTCCCAAGTTAAAGGACTTTTACTGAAATTGTGCACCGACAAATTTTGTTTGGATAAAGAAAATACTTTCGGATGTAATTTATCAGCTAATATTTTGCCAGAAAATTACACTTTTAGTTCATTATTGGAAGCAAATAGAAGGTAAAATGTTTTAAGTTTTTTTTGCTAGATATGGGTGTAAGTATAAAAAATAATTAGCATAACAATAGTATTACCCATGGGGAAAAATCGTCTAAAGACGATCGTCTTTAGACGCGAATTCGTCCAATCGTCTTTCAAACGATCGACTTTCAAACGATTCAATCGGTTGCGTAGGTTAGGCGGTCGGCTGTACAGACGAAATATATATTTGAAATTCTTCTCTATTATAATAAAGAATTTCAAATATACTTTGGAATATTTGGAATTGTCTATTATTCGAAGTAGGTAGGTATCGCCTTTAGAATTATTTTTTTAATTAATTTAATTAATAATTATGACAAAATAAAAATATTTTTTCATCGGTTAAGTTATAACTTAAAATTTTAATTAAAACGATCGTCTTTTTTCGACTATTATTTTAGACGATCGCCTTTTGTATCGTTTATCACTTTAAACGATCGTCTTTAGGGTCAGCTATTATTTTAGACGATTAAAGACGATCGTTTAAATAATTAAACGATTTCGTTTGAAAGTAGACGATCTTCTTTAGACGATCGTCTTTTTTACAAAAGATCGTTTAAAAAATTAAGCGGTATCGTTTAAAAATAGACGATCTTCTTCAGACGATCGTCTTTTTTAAAACGATTTTTTCCCATGGGTATTCTTTTTATTGTCGAATTTATTACGAATTTTGTTTTATCTGAACATAATTAATAATTTTACATAATCTTGGTTCAAGTAAAAACGTTTTATTTACAAAATAATGCGAAGAGTTAGTTCTCTCTAAAAATGAATTAGTCAAAAATGACTAAATGTCATAGCGAAAAAGCAGCCACTAATAATTCTCTTCAATAGCAATTAGTATCGCGAATATTTAGAAGTCAATTTCTATGTAAAATTGTCCCCTGAATCCGAAAATGTTGTCAAAAGTTAAAAAAGTAAAACAGTATTTGAGATATAGTCAATTTTCCCTTTATATGGAATTGACCATATCTCAAAAACTGCCCTACTCTCATTATTTTTGAGATACCATGGTTTCCCATGGTTAATCATGGTACAAGTGAAAAAGCAGCCACTAATAACTGTTGTAATTAGTCATTTTTGACTAATTCATTTTTAGAGAGTAATAAGTAGATTTTTTAAATCTAATCGTAATCTTAATTTAGTTTCAACAAGATCTTTAAATCATAAACTAAAACTAAACTAAACTATACTTTACTTAAATCTGTTCAGGGTGACACAAAAATTACCTATTGGAAGTTGGGTTAATTTTTATTTTCAAACGATTAACATGATTTTCTTTATTATGTGTGCAAAGTAAACGCTTCACTGATTGCCCTATCTCAGAGGTTGGATTCATATTGGAAGTTTTTAAACAATCAACAGCATTAAAATTAAAAAAATCTTGTTGGTCCAGAAATAACTTGTGTCCGAAAAATTGAAGCGTTTTGAATTGTTACGTGTGTTTTACACAATAAATATGAAACGCCTATAATCGCCCAGAAAAGCTTTAAGTCGCAGAGGTTACATAATTTATTTTGCTGAAAATACCGTAATAAGCTATCAAAAATCGGTTTTAACCGGTTTCAGAGGTTATGTCATTTATTTACTACCGTAGGAGAAATATCGAAGATATGTTTAAAACGGTTTAAATAATAAGTGCTAGCAACGTCGCAAATTTTTGTTAGGTCGACTGGTCTTTTAATACTGCTTTTCCTAATTATAATAATAATAGGTTTTGTTAAACATGATGTATGTACGATGGATTTTTTTAACCCTTTATAGGTTAATGGTCTCTATGTTAACCACATCCATTACAGCTTACTTAGAAATGAGAGAGAACCCAAACTTCGACCAAAGTACAAATAAATGAACTCATAATGTGCAGTGGCTATCATATTGGCCATAATTTAAATTTGGCAATTGTTAGAACCAATGTGGTCTCTATGTTAACCATTGCCTGTTCCCACAAAATTGCGAAAAAGTTACATTTGCAGTAATTGTTGCTGCTAGCGAGCATAAGCATGTTTGTTTTACCTGACAACACACATAATTCAAAAGTTAATTGAATGCTTTACAACTTGTGATAATAGTAATTGGAAAATAGGTTAGCGCTAACGAAATATTTAGATCGTTTTGGAACATAACCTCTATCAAGCTCACATACCGTGAGACTATTGAATCCATGTCCAGTATTTTTTGTTTTTTTGAAAAATTGGATTCAAGTAAACTATTTTATCTAGTTGTTGGTATAACCGAAGATCAGGCTATGGATTCGGAGATTGAGAGCGACAGCCCATCAAGAGTCCCTTAGTACTTTTCGTCTGAATTCACCAAGTACATCTTCATGTTTACAAGTAACTTTTGCCAATACTTCAGCACGATCCAGCCTACGTAATCGTAGTGAGCGAACATCCAGTATACATTTCAGAAAACAACGACTCTAATGCCCTTCTGTAAAGTCAACAATCAAGTAATCTAGAAGTAAGACCTAAACCACGTAAGCAAAAGATCTCTAAAAATGATCTCCTTCAAACATGATATCATCTTATTTCTGCCAAAAGTAACTAACTGAAATTTTGGAAAATTCTTAACTAATTGGACCCAACAACACAAACTTAAAAAAAATATTTTTACTTTATTTTTTGCATGACCATGCTATTTTGAATAATTTACCGTATCTATTTATAGATCGGTTGGTTGTGTTTACTGGTTGCTATAGAAATAGCGCGTCGGTAAGTAATTACTTAACGACGCGTTATCTGATCGGTAAGTAAATTAGGTATAATTTGTCCAAAAATTTTCTTTAGATACTTATACTAAAAATAAACAACATATTTTAATTTTGCATTTACTTGGACAAAATAATATTATGCCAACAGGACCTTTTCGTTTAACTTAAACAAGAAAACAAGAAAGCAAGGTAATTACCTTGTTTTTTTGTTTTTTCATAGCGATGCTTTGACTTCTTTGGTAATATATTTCCCACCGTGAGAATCGCACGATTGTTCAATGTCTGTATTTTCTTTGCTCTAAGCATCACTCATAGTTTTTTATTAATAAATATTTGTTTACATTACGAGATAAGAAAGTTACTTTTAAGTGAAAGGTGTTTCGCATCGTGTAATTTTATTCTTTTCCTACATTAAACCCCAATAGAAGATATTCAGTGACAATAATTAGTGTAAACGATAAATATTTTCCTAACAAAAGCGCAAAGTTACATTTTTCCGCACGCTACCGCAATTGCACGAACGACGCGAAGCGGAGTTCGGGCAAGCAGTAAGTGCGGAAAAATTACTTTGCGCATGTGTTAGGAACAATATTTTTTCTACTATCGTGCGCAAAGTTAGATAAGAATGATTTTTAAATTAATTATTTCACGAAAAATCTATAATATATTATGACGTTTTAATTTGTTTGACACTTGACATGGAAACTAAGTAACTAAATAAATTTGATTTTGTATAAAATCAACATACTTAGGGAGAGACCGGGGCGGAATGGGGACTTTAAAAAATATTTTTAGTAAGGTAGAGACGTGGTACAAATTCAAAAAAAAGCAGAACGATTTATTAAAATATTATAAACAAAATACAAAAAAAATAACATATTTATTATTATTAACAATTTTTTTATTATGGTATTAAAAAAGTGTCCTTTCCTCCATTCCGCCGCGCCTACGGGGCAGAATGGGGTTATCGGGCTTACACAATTCACAGACAAGTTCTGCATCTGCTGAAAATGGGTATAATGGGTATATACAATATAATATAATGGGTATATACAATATAATATATAGTACATTAGATGCAAAACTCGGTTTTTGCAAATTTTTTAAAAATATATATTTTATACTATTTATGTACATTAATACAATGCCTACAGCATACTTAGGTAAACCAGATGAATGAGTTAATATTTGTAGAATAAAATACATTTAAAAACTTAACGCAGATGCAAAACTCGGTATTTGCTGTTGACCAATTACTTCGCTATTATACGTATCACGTGTAATTATCTGACATTAATTGTTTGCTAGTGTCATAGTTTAATGAGCTTTGAAAGAAAGAACGTTACATTTTCTAATTTAAAACTGGTAAAAGTATTTTTTAAATGTTTATTTAGATATTTAAAGTATATTAACATGGAATTAAACGTTAGTGTTACAACTTGTCCGAAAGGAAAAGGTAGAAAGAGGTCCCGCCAAACTGAAACCTGGAAAAGAGTGAAGAATCAAACTTTAAGGTAAGACATTTTTCTATATTTTTTGCTGGCAACCTTTTTTATATTTTTTTTAGACATAAACCAAAAGATTTGCCAAGATTTCAAAATTGTAATCATGATAAAAATGTTTTTTCTTGTAAATTGCTAAGAATGAGAGATATTCAACAATTTCACAGTATGCTTTACTCTACAACTGATAAGATTAAACAGGATATTTTTATTTTAAAATTCTGCGAGGGAGCAACACCTAAGAGATCTTTAAGAAATTCCTACAGAATTTCCATTAAATACAAAATTCCTACAGCGGAAGGCGATTTAATACGAGTATGCAAAAAGGCTTTCTTAGGTATAACTCATTTTAGCGGAGATAGGATTGAAACAATTGTAGCCAATTTTATACGATCTGGTCAAATTCCCAAAGAAAAAAGAGGAGGCGATAGAATTTTGGAAAAAAATGATGCTGCTAAACTCTCAATTAAGCAGTTTATTGAAAGCTTAACTTGCGTAGAGAGTCATTATAGTCGAAAACGTACATCTAGACTATTCCTGAGATGTTATTTGAATTTTAAAAAATTATTTAAGTTACATCTTGGGCAAAATCCAGGTTCTGATGTCAAATTGTCTTATTTCAGGACATATTTAAACAAAAATTACAATTTGTCTTTTGGTACACCATTAACTGATGTGTGTTCTACCTGCTTGCGTACCAAAGAATTGTTAAAACAAAATAATTCTGAGGAAGAAAAAATTCAGATTACCAAAGTTGCCTGATC